AACTCCCAGAATTCCCCAGCCAGCAAAGCTGGCTGGGGAATTCTGGGAGTTGAAGTCCACCAGGCTTAAAATTGCCAAGGTTGGAGACCCCTGTCTTAGGTGACGCTTTGCTTACGTCAGGCTTGACTCCTGGTGATAAGCTCCAGCTGAGGAAAGGTGGACCAAAAGACTTCTAAGCTCCCTTTGAAAACCCTATGTTCTATCACTAGTGACAGATTTGCATCAGGATTTTTCAAATTATGTTCCACAGCAGCAGTCCCCAACCTTTCCATCTTGGCAGATTTGAGAGGGGGAGGAAAGGGGATGGTTCCATGTGAGCAGCAGATGCGCATGTTGAGCATGCCCAGCTCCATTTGATCAAGCACTTACTGCTAGCACAAATGGAGCTTCCTGCATGATCACACATTCATGCAAGTGGAGCTGCGCGCACGCAAGCGCCCTTGTGTCCACCACGTACTCCAGTGGAACAGGGCACACATAAGCACCTGCCACTTGCACAGCCCAGTTCCAGGTGACAGCCTGGGGGTTGGAGACCCCCTGTTCTACAGAACACTAAGTTTAACAAGAGATTTCATGAAAGGCTAAGGGCAAAAACAGGGAGGAGAAGGGTCTTGAACAGAACTAATTTTCTGTCACCTTTGGATCAAGAGTTCTGGGTTTTTTTTTTTAACCAGCAGGTTCCATATCTTGAACTAGTTTGAAAATTCCTGATATATATTGCTTTTTTAGCAACAGCTTTTACCATATTTTTCAGAGTATAAGGCGCTCCGAAGTATAAGATGCACCTAGCTTTTGGGGAGGAAAACAAAGTGGGGGGAAGAATCTGCCTCTGCCTCCCAGCAATTTGTCTCCTTGCAGCAAACAGCAAACACCCTGGTCAGCTTCAGCACAGCCTGATTAGCACCAGTAGCTGATCGTCAGTAGGATCGGCGTCCCGACAATCACTGGTTTCCGGCTGCAGGGATTGCCATCACCTACTGCTGCCTCCATGCACTCCATTTTTGGCCTCCACATCCCGTATTCAGCCTCCGTGTGCCCCGTTTTCTGCCCTTTCCAAGCGGTGGGGATCAGAACAGGTGGAAAATGGGACGCACAGAGGCAAAAAAAACAACAGGCATGCTGAGACTGAAAATGGGGTGCGCAGAGGCGGCAATAGGTGATGGCAATCCCTGCAGCCTGAAACAGCTGATCGTCGGGAGGCCGATCCTACATACAATCAGCTGTTGTGCTAATCAGGCTGTGCTGAAGCTGACCAGGCAGTTTGCTGCAAGGAGGCAAATTGCTGGGAGGTAGAGGTCGAAGGGTGGGCCAATGGGTGGGTGGGGTTTTGGCAACATTTGCCGTATAAGACGCACAGACATTTCCATCCGCTTTTGGGGGTGGAAAAAGGGCTTCTTATACTCCGAAAAATACAGTAGATTTTCCACTGCATTTTTAAAGTTTCCAATCTGGACTACAGATTTAGAAACTTGCATCTTATTTTAATATTAAGTGAATTGTTATCTACAAAGAGAGTGAAAGGAGAAGGGCAGAACCAGAAGAAGAAGAATCAGTAGTAAAGTAATAGCCTAAAAACCAGGAGACTGACTTCTGGTCTTGCCCTAGGCATGAAAACTGGCTAGGGTGATTTGGACTAGTCACTTTCTCTCAGCTGACCCCATTTCACAGGGTGGTTGTTGTAGTGAAAATAGGATGAGAAAAGGGAACTATGTATGTTCACTGCCTTGAGTTACTTATAAAGTAATAAAGTCTGCATAACAATATAATGAATTATATTGTATATTTGGTAATTAATAAAAATCATAGTCCCGGTGTCTTCTGTAAGTTTTAGTTCCAAGGCAAAAAAATAGCTGTTCGTATGACACACTAATAACCAACCATATTTTTGTTTAAGGTGTATAATTCATGGTTCATGGTTCACCAGTTCATGGTTCACCAGTTCATGGTGCAGTTGGTTGAGTAAAGTCAGTTAGCCTAATTGTAAGTCATGGCTAAGTTAATAGTGTTTCATTCCAATATAGCCGCAATTCTGAACTGTACATTCTCTTAAATTTTTGTTGTTGTCTTGTCCCATTTCAAAAGGGGCTAGAAATTGAAGTCTCTTATCTACAGTACCTTAATTGCCTTTTGTAAGGAATTCTTAATAGCATATTTAGGTTTTAATGAATTCAGCATGACTACTGCTTTTCCTAGCCTGATGCCTTTTGGATATGTTGGGAATGATAGATGCCAACTCTACAGTACATCTTTAAGTAGTCTTCTGAGAAACATAAATATGTTTATTTAATGTAAATGTTGCTATCATTAATACTTGGTCATTCATGTTTAATGTATTTTTACAGAGCAGCTTGTTATGGGATGTGCTAAGCAACCTGGTTCAACCTGGGAAAAAGATTATGACTCCTTTATTCTCCCTCTGCTTGAAGACAGACAACCATGTTATCTCCTGTACAGATTAGATTCCCAGAATGCCCAAGGACATGAATGGATTTTTATTGCATGGTCACCAGATCATTCTCCTGTACGTAACAGAATTAAATTGATGACAACAAACCATACATTAAACTTTTTAAATACATCTTTTTCTGCAAATTATTATTTGGTTATTCCCATACTTCACAGATCCATGTCTTCCACCTTCTCACTCTTAAAATCATATATTTCTTGGCTAACGGAGCCATTGGAAAGGATAGAACCAATTGAAACAGAAATAAATGCACATCTGTTCATGTGAATTTTTTATAATGATATGTTTTACTAGGCCTGGCATTCTGATATGCCTCTAGAATATTTTGGACTTTAATTCTGAAGTGCTGTTGTCACCATAGCCAGTGCCAATGAATTATGTAACTAATAATTCATCAGTTTGTGTAGAACAGTGATTCTTATTCTTATATTACGAGAAGCCCTTCCATCTGACCTATGAACAACTTTCAGCCCTCCCAGGTAAACCAGACAAATGTGCTAATTCTACTTTATCCTAAGGTTACATTAACAGAATCTTGCAAGCCTGGAAGTGTAAATCTCCTGCTGTCTCTCTTACAGTCTGAGAAATGGCAGTCTCTTATGAGCCCCTTTCTTTGCCTATTATCCAGCTGTGGACTATGCTGTCTCTTATCTGACCATTTCCTAGGCAGCTTCTCTCCCCTCCATCCCATTTTCCCATACAATTAAATAGACTTGTTTCAAATATGAGAATATGAAATTTTCCATCTGGGATTGATAGTGTTCCAAAAATTTGCATTATAATTTCCAGCAAGATCAGTAGCTAAAAATATTGAACCATATGGGGAGCACCAGATTGCCTGTTATTTTAATGAATAATGTATTTAGGAGGTAGTGGATATTGTACCCAAAGTTTTAAACTTTTGTAGAGAGTAAGATAACATCAATAATGTTGTTTTATAAATGATAAATTATACTTTTTGATAAAGAAATCAGTAATTGTTCATGTTTGCACATAGCTCAACATTTTACTATTATGTTTTCCTTCCTGTTATAATAATTTGCAATAATTTTGTACATTTATCATATATATACACTGATAAAAGGGAAAATTAAAACAAATATTTTCAAAATTAAACATTTATGTAAGAATAGAAGGATGGAAGAATTGTAAATCTATATGAAAAGTAGTTTTAGAATTTAATTTTCATTTAATTCAATTTTTAAAAATCCAAAGTTATCCCTTTTATGACCAATCAGGTTCGTCAAAAAATGTTATACGCAGCTACTCGGGCAACGTTAAAGAAAGAATTTGGAGGTGGACATATTAAAGATGAAGTATTTGGAACAAACAAGGTGTGTATTCTATAGAAGCTAACTTACCCATTTAGATTACTTTATTGGCCAAGTGTGACTGGACACACAAGGAATTTATCTTGGTGTAAATACTCTCAGTATACATAAAGGTACATTTGTTAAGAATCAAGAATCATAATGTACAACACTTAATGATAGTCATAGGGTACAATCAACAATCAAATCATGCTAGGATACAGTCAAGTGGGAGGGGATGGGTGATAAGGAGTGGTGAGAAGATTAACAGTAATAGTAGTGTACACTTTGTAAATAGTTGAACAGTGTTGAGGGAATTATTTGTTTAGCAGAGTGATGGCTTTCGGGAAAAAACTATTCTTGTGTCTATTCTATTCTATTCTTGTTCTGGTGTACAGTGCTCTATAGCGTCGTTTTGAGGGAAGGAGTTGAAACAGTTTATGTCCGGGATGTGAGGGGTCTGTAAAAAATTTTTGTAAGTGATAATCTAAGAAGAAATAAGTTGTATTTTCATGTGTTAATTTGATATTTTGGGGAGGGCAGGGAAACTTAAACCTGTTGAAATATTTTTGTTGGGAAGAATTTTGTTGTTTGTTTCTTGGTTTGTTTTATCTCAGAGCAATTTGAGTTTTCCTTATTTCCTTTCTTGCCACATTGCCTTTTAAATGTCAGATGTTAGTAAAGCTGTTTTTGTATTCTGAGGCAGAGAGTCTATAAGATACTTGCTCCTCTGAGGTGGAGCATTTCTGAATGAGAGAACTTGGTGGTCTGGGAACACTCATAAGGGCTGTAGGATTGTATTAACTGTAAAGCAATATGTTTCTGAACTGAACTGCTTCTGAAGAAAATGTTGCAATTTGAAATTACCAATCGTGCAAACCTAATGGCTCTGTGTTTTTCAGGATGATGTTTCATTAAATGGTTATCGGAAATATTTAATGACTCAATCTTCCCCTGCTCCTTTGACAACAGCTGAAGAAGAACTTCGACAAATCAAGATTAGTGAGGTACTGCATCTTGGTTTGGAAGCCAAACTCTTTTTAGAGAATTTAAAGCAAAGCCTGGATGTTAAATTTCCTACAGCCTGAAATGTTTTTTAACCGTTAAACTCTGTGTGTTTCCTTGTAAATACATTAAATAAGATTTATTTCTGACCAAATGTTCTTTGAATAGAAGCAAACCCCCCTCTTCTGCAATGCAGTTTAGTGACTGTTTTGTTTTTAATTATGAGGATTCTTTTAAACATAAAGCAGATGGCCCTTCAAAATTATGACTATAATTGAGGATTCTTTTTTTAAAATAATTTTTATTGAAAATTAAGTTTTAAAAACATTGAACGTGGTGATCTTTTTGGCATGTATCTCAGTCTTTACATTATTGTATGAGCAAAAAGTCCACCCTCTTCTTAAGACGCTGGACTCTACCTGGTTGGATAATTTACGACCTGTCTCCATGGATTCTATCTTAGATATTATGTTGCAATATAAACTCTTCTTAAATTCTATTTCACATTTTTTAGACTTCCTTTCATATCCCTCCATTTATAAAAAATTTCCCATATTGCATGGAATTCTGAAGTGTCTCGCTTCTTCAGCTCTAACATCATATTATCTAACTCAGTGCACTGAAAAAAAATTCTATTATTACTTCATCGTTCAGTATTCTTTTTAACTTCCATGTTTGGGCAATTGATAATCTTG